GAAATTGGGGCACCTCCGAGGTGCTCCCCCGTCCCCAGGGCTGGGGGGTGGAAGGGGGAAATTGGGGCACCTCCGAGGTGCTCCCCGTCCCCAGGGCTGGGGGGTGCGGACGTTGTTCAATCCTTTCTGTGCCCCCTAAGCAGCATCAGGGACGTGGTTTGGTGCCTGAGCGTTTGGTGGCAGCTGTCATAGCCAAGGGGCTTCCAGTCTCCCTCTGTCCCTTTGGAGCGACATAATAATTTTTGGAGAAAGAGGGTTTTCCTTCTACCCCTCTGCAAGCTCTGTAACTAAGGGAAAAACATTGGTGTCCCTGTGGTCTCCGTGTACAGGCGTACCATGGCTGAGAGCTTAGGTGGCCGTTCCCAAGCCTGTGTTAGTGGTTTTCCTCTAACCCACGTCCACGTGTGCGTGCATCATGCTGGGACAGAGCCCTGCTTTCAGCATCTGTGTGCTGGGCCTCATGTCGCTGAGCATTGTTACTGCAGTTCCTTTCAAAAGCTGAGAATGGGGCACATACATATAAATTTTTTTTTTCACCTCTCTGCTTTTAGATGAGGACTATCATCTTCCTAGGAAGCTGAGCACCCTTGCTGACACAGGAAAAGTAGATGCATCTTAATCTCTACCTCACTTCCCAAATCATAGAAGGAACCAGTGTTGTCTTCTGAGGTTGCTTAATCGCACTTGTTTTGTTGGTTTTTTGAGTTTGCTTTTCCCCAAAGGAAATGAGGCCTCTGCTCGGTTCAGGTGCTGGTTTTTCACTTCCACACAGGACTCTCCATCAGCTTCACTAGCTTGGCCGGGGTGCGCTTTCTCTGGTTAAAGAGTGGCAGAAGGCACGCAGGGGGAACATTTCCTCATGTGATATTATACGGGAGGTATGCCTTGTGCGATAGGTGTGTAAACATGGCAGTGACCTACTGGGGCTTATTTATCTGGTGCCCTTGGAGCAGATAAGGATCATTGCACTTGGAGTATTGTCTAATTCTGAATATCCAGGAATATGACTCCAGGCAATTCCCCCAAGGGGGCATTTTTGCTGAGATCATATCAGCAGATAGCCGCTGAAACGTGCGCGTACGCAGCAGGATTATCGTTATGGGAGGGATAGTCTGTGTCACTGACAACCAGACTTTTTAGTTGAGCTGCTGATGAGTGCTTATTGTGCTGGCTGGAGCCTAGGTTGGAGAAATGTCCGTCTCTCCTTGTTTTAGTGTCCCTGTTGTTCTGCTCTAGCGAAGTTCTAGCTGAGCAGTGGGCATTGCTGGTGGGGCTATGGCTGGTCCACCCAAGCGACTGCTGGCCTGAGGAAAGGGAAGGTGGTCGCCGAGAGCCAGGGATGCTCGTGGCTGTTAGAGCTGAGGTCTCCAGGTGTTGTCTGAGTGTAGTAACCTTCCTGCTTGCGAGTCTGCACTGAGCTGGTTTATATCCTGCTTCAGTTGTTTATATTAGAGAGGGGGGAAAAAAACCACATTCACCATTTAAATTGCATTTTGACTGATAATTTTAACAGTATTCTTGCAACTTACTGGATGTAACTCACTCTGCTGTAAAAGTTCTTTACAAGACTGCGGAATCCCTGGTGAGAGCTGTGATCCTGCTCGCCCAGCCTCTTTCCAGGGAAACGTGGGCTCTGCTAGACCAAATCCCCGGCTGGAAAGTAGGGAATAGTCTGGTGTGAGGAACTTGGGGTGAGCTGTAGCTTGTTGAAGAGGTACTTGAAGTTGTGTGCTCCTAAATAAGAGCAGTTATTTTCCATTCTTATAAGTGGTAATAAAACCAAGTAGTTGTCAGGCTTTTGCTGCAATAAAAGAAATCAAGGACACGTCTGTCTCTCTCTGGATTAGGCTGGTGTAGCGGAGCAGGTTACTTTGTCATAAAAAGCCTGCAAATTTAATGCAATGGGAAGGTGAGATGCTTTGAAATGTAACAGGATATTTTTAAAGATCCTCGATCCTTCTAAACAGAGTAATATAATTAGTAATTCTTAAATCTGGGCTATGTGGAGAAAACTCTGTCTGGCTGTGCCTTCAGAAAGTCATTAAAGGGTTCCCCATCCTTTTCAGCCTCGGGTAGCATTCGCTAATCAGTGCCGACTGTGGAAGTCAGTGAGAACAGATGAACAGAGAAATCCATCGGGGCAGGCGTGGGAAGTGGTGAGCTGAGAGCACAACGCGGTCCGAAACCGAGGGCTTCTGTTATAGCAGAGCCGGAAGATCCTGCCTTAATTCCTGAGCTCAGCTCTGGTATGGACATTACGCAGACGAGCGAGCGATGGACTCTGTCCTGGAGAACTCGCGACCAAAGGCAGTGAAGGCCCAGGGAAATAGTGTTGGTCCTGTGGGGGTTAAGACGGGCAAGAGAAATTTGAAATTTGCTGTTTGAACCCCAAGTCCGGTATTTTAACAAGATTATTTCTAAAACCAGGCATATGGGAAGGGTTGAACGTGGAAACTAGAATGTCAGTAGAGTTCTTCTTAAGAACAAAAGTATGAATAATATTTTCTGGTTTGGCTAATTATAGCTCTTTGTTTTGAATTAAAGATGCAGCGTTAATAAAAATAATGGCTTCTATTTAAATGAAAACGATGTCTTCCAACCTAGCAGTTTTGTGGCAGTAGTGTCCATTTATTTGTTGCTTCTAACACTGAAATTAAATGACTTCTCATCTGCTGTTAGTCTATCCTTTTAAAATTGCTTATAAACAAGGTGATGTATGTCCCGGAGTAGAATCCTTTAGTGTTTAGTATAACAGGCTTTGAATCTTTAAGCAAGTATCATTATGATACAGGTAGCTGGTCTAATGACTTAGAAGGGACCGTCTCACGGCCTTCTCTCCTCTGCTCATCGCACAGGTACATCTTACATTTATTACCCATTTTCTCTTTACTTTGAAGACATTGCTGGCCATCTTCCTTTGTCTCTGCTGTGAGTAGAGAGGCTCCAACACACTCTTAAGCTTGGTTTTCTCCTGACCCCGTAATGTTCTCCTTCCGCCCTCCTTTTTCACTTTGGAGAAGGAAATTCCTGTTTTGTGCTGCTACGGCTTAATTAAACTGGGAGGGCTCTGCAGGGTTCCCACAGCTGTTTAGCAAAGAGCTTTGCTGCCCTGTGTGATCAACAGTTTTGTTGTGAGCGGTGATCTAACCACTTCCATCAAAACTTGAGATTTTTGGGTTTTTTTTAATGTACCAATAGCCTTGACGTGCGTAGGGATGAGATCCTTCAAGAAAAAAAAAAAGTTGGGCCAGGCTGATAAGCGTGCGATAAGGATTGGGCTTTTGAGGCCGTGTAGGCTTTCGTTGCTCTGTGGAACCAGCCTTGGTCTGTGACAAAGAATGTTAACTGGGAAGGCGAAAGAGCAACTAGTTTGATATGGTGTAATATTCAAGGACTTCAAACATCGGCGTAGCTGTGGCAGAGTTTCCCGTATGATGTCGTGATTTGTGCTGGTAAATTGCTGTGAATTCTGGTCTGCTGCATCAGTGGTGGGTGTATGTGTGGTGCAAATCTTCCTGCTGTCAGAGCTCACCCAATTGGACACATACCTCTTTTTAATCACCTATATGCCGAAAGGTATTTAATTAGCAGCTTTCTAACTGAATTACTTTGGGGATATAACGAGCCAAATGCAGAAGCTGGGGGTTTGCTTACTTTACAAAAACAGTTTTTGGGCGGGATTCAGTATCCAAGAACCATCTTGCTAGCTGGGACCTGGCAGCATCCTTGAATTCCTGCAGTTGATTATCTTAATGACCTGAGCTACTCCTTCAGCACAAACCAAACAGAATATCACTTTCATTCCTCACCTACTTCTTTGTTTGTATTCTGTGTCTTTTTAGGCAGATTTTTTGAAAGGATTACCGGTCTACAACAAAAGCAACTTCAGCAGATTCCATGCGGATTCTGTATGTAAAGCATCAGTAAGTATTGCCACATCCTGGTGCTTTGGGGGAAGGTTTTCTTGCACGGCTCAAAAGATGCTAGAGTGAAATAAACTTGAAATGAGTATTTTGTTTCTTAAAAAACATGTATGGTCACAGCTGATAGCTCATGAGTTGAGATTGGCAAGGAAAACTTCCTGCCTGCTTTGGTGAGGAATGTGTCATCACATCAGCCAAACCACATCTGTGATGCTTTCTTTATATATACGTTCTTTAGTAATAGTCTTATACCCTGAAAAACACATGAAAAATAGACCTTCTTCTTTATATGTGTGTTTTAAAAAGCTGTAGCCGCACAGTGTCACGTAACAGGGCAGAATATCACAATGCATTTGTAGCCTGCGTTAATTAGGGTCTTTTGGTTGGTTTAGCTGTGGTTGGGTTAAAAATCACCTTTTTGCTGTCTTTATTCTGTAACTGTTCTAATTCTTCTACAGAATAGAAGACCATCAGTGTATCTTCCCACGAGAGAATATCCATCTGAACAAAGTAAGTCTGCACCGCTAATGTTTTGAGTTTTTTAATAACTTTATTCTGTTATAATATTAAAAATCTGGCATACACATAACCTCCCTTATTTTAACTTCAAATCAGGTGATATTATTGAACTGTCACCACAGTGATTAGCAGTGTATGTCTAGTTATTGTTTTTTGTGCATTTCCTCTATCCTTATTAAGAGATTGGTGTTCCTGCATACTGTCCTTTTATTAAAAAGGACTGTGCTTAGTACGTGAAGTAATGTGGTGATTACTGCACCGTTTTTAAAAGTCATCTTTAAAATGACCTCAGTATGTTTCTTTCCCTTTTTTTTGGCAGTCATAGTAACAGAAAAGACAAATATACTTTTGCGTTATTTACATCAGCAGTGGGACAAAAAGGTACGGTTGTGTTTTCTTAATATTTTGTCTTGATTTGTTGACTTGGGCTAATTGAGCTGAATATTGATCACAATCAAAATATTGAAGATTAGTTAAAAGAAAGTGCGAACTGCACTTCAGCAAAAGAAAGTGTAAGGAGGCTCTGTCTCTGCACAACACTTCTTCTTCAAAAAAAAAAACCCCACAACTTTTTCTTCCCTTTCAATATAAGCGACATTAACTCAGCGTTTAGTCTAAAACTTGAGAGGTTGCAGTTACATCTCCCAGTTACTGCAGTTTTCCTTTGTGACCTTGGCAAATTGGTCTCCCTGTGACTTGGCGGCTACTTTACAGCTAGAGTAAAGCTGCTCTTACCTCCCAGGACTGTTAGGAGAAGATGGATGAGATTGTGCAGAATGTGAATGCACTACTGAGGCTGTGTAAGTACCTTGGGTACAAAATCTGAGCTCTCGTATGAGGAACATCCAAATTAGTACGCTCTAGCTAGCGTTTGAGACTAGGAAGCCGGGATACCTGCGTTGGGAGTACTCAGAACAAGGCAGTGACTTAGGAGTGGAGACGTCGAAGCAGTGAGTGTAATCATGGGCAGAGTAGAGGTTGCGGAAGAATGCGGAGAGAGGCAAAATTATAAGGAACTTTGAAGCTGAAAAGAAGGTATTTGTGTGTGACAGAAGGCTTTGGGAGATTTTGATAAGTTCAGGGACTGACTCAGAGCAGTGGGAAAGAGGATCTTACTCATGTTTATGCAGCATTTGAGATCTATAAATAAAAGGTGCTGAGATCAATGATTCGTGTTTCGGTCCCACCCTCAAATTTGAAGAACAATCTAGAAGGACCACCTTTTGGCTTTGGGCAAAATCCTCTTCAGTGTTTGTTCCAGTGTGTCGGTTAGGTCATCACAGCACTATATTCCATCCGAAAACTTTTACAAACAAGAATTTGTTCTACCGACACTAGCTCTGGAGAGTTTCACTGTGGCTTTCTCTGTCCCAACAGAATGCAGCAAAGAAGAGAGATCAAGAGCAAGTGGAAATAGAAGGTGAGAATTCGGCACCACCACGGAAAATCGCTCGGACAGACAGCCAGGATATGAACGAGGACACTTAAACTCTTGGCTTTCTCCTCTACTACTTTGCAGGCGCTTCCTGTTTTGTCTCAAAGTGTGTAAATTTTGCCCCTTGCCCCCATCTCTCACCCCTCCACTATGCAGCCCAAACCACTTCTGACTTCATAGGAGCCAATGTATTTATTTTTTTTTCCTCTCAATTTTTTATTTATGCCGTAAAACTTACGGAGCAGTGGTGGAACAATTCAGTAAATGATGTAGTATAACCTTAGTTCCTCCTTTCTAAAAATATACACTGTCACTTTCACAGGTTTTGTTGAATCTGTTACCTAATCAACCAGGTCTAGCTATGGGAGCCTGGTAGGAGACGTGGGTTATTACGACCCCTTCAGTGGTATAGGCTTTCCGATTCATGTACCCGTTGACATATTACAAGTGGTTAACTCTTCTTTGGATGTGCCCAGTCCAGCCATAAGTGTGGGGCCTCACTATTTTTCACGAATATTCTGAAACTGGCACTGCACTAAAAAAATCATGGGTGTCATTTAGGGTTATGTTGCTCTTAGCAAACGTGTCGTCAACTTGATATATCAGTTGTATTCTTTTGGTCTGTTCTGTAAGGGCCACGGCCATTTGGCAGCGTACATTATCTCATGCATCAGTGGTCATGGAGAATTCAAGTGAAAGGTGTGTTGCTTTTGTTGCTCTTAAATTCTAACCGCCTCTTGGTCTTGAACGGACTGATATGTGCAACTTCTCCGCTGGAATAAAAGGATACTTTTATCCTATTCTGAGTATTTGATCAACAGTGTATTTAAGCAGCAGCTGATGGAATGGAGTTGGGTAGGCACCCTGCAGGCAGCGCTTGGCTGGATAAGCCTGGGAGCACCTCGGCAACTAGATCTAGTTCTCTGTCTCAACTGCCGGCTCTGAATAATGGTACGTTATATTTTCCTGTGATGCCGGCATGTCTGGAACGGAGTCCAGGACTTGGAGTTGATCAAAATGTGAGCTTCCATGGTCTCTGATGAAGACCAATCTCTTTTGGACTGTGACAGTTCGGTGCCTGTTGCCTGTAACCCTTCACTGACTCTTCAGTAAGAGCCAAAATGGAGACCCGTAAGTCGTCTAGTGGATTCAGAGGTTCAGAGACTAAAAGGAAATGAGCATCGTCCCTTGAAGGGGACAGGAAAGGTGTAGCTTAGTAATGATGTCTTGTCTGCTTTAACGTAAGGAGCTGACTTCACACTGTGTTAGTTTGAATTGTTGCATTTATAGCTGTGTTTTTTCGCCGTTGACAAATCCTAAACACCAATTCAAGAAATCGCACGAACGTTTTTCTAGAGATCCTGAATAAGCCTCGTTCCGAGTGGCTGCAGTGGCCGCGAGCTTTGAGGGTTTCTGCTGTCCCCTTCTCCAGGGCATCCCCGTCCAACCTGGGGACGCCACGTGTTCAGGTTTGGGGGTGAAGGGAACACGAAGGGAGATAAACTGTTGCTGACGACCGTACGTTGCAAGGCAGAACCTTAGGAAGAGCAGGGCACAGCTCATGTTGCATTTTTAAATGTACATTAGGCACCAAGTTTCTGATGCAGTGAGTGAATTTAACTTAACACTGAGTAGTTTAGAACTTTGTATCTGCCTCAAAAAACATTACCTTTTTGCTATGGCAGTAACCTCCAAATTACTGGAATGTCGTTGAAAATGCCAACTGTGTTGGTGAAGATAAAACACACTTGGGTTTCCGTGTGATTTACTGGCGATTGCAAGAGGACTCCTCCCAGAGTTATGCTGTCAAAAAGTGCTTTTGTGCAAGGTGCAAGACGTTGACTGAAGATGCCGTGTTTGCGTCCAGCCTCGCAGGGATTATCTGAAGCTGAAACTGAAGAATCCTTTGAAGAGCTGTGAGATACCAAAAGAGGAAACGAACGTGCAGCTGGTGGTAAAGTGTGACCAATTTGTGTGTTTAGCAAAGCTTGAGAGCTGCAACCTTGCAGTAATGTTTGTACAGTGCTTTAAAGTTGTAAAATGCTGTATAATTCTTGATTGATATGGCAAGGTTTGAGCTTTGCTGACTTCTCTGCTAGACAGAGTGATGTACTATTAAAGAGAGTTGGCAGTTCCTTCCTGTTGTAAACCCCCGTCTTTGTTCCCTCCGTGTCTTTTAAAAATGATCTTGTTGGTTATGGGAGCCTTTGAAATACTTCGGATATTTTTAGGAGGTTAAAGAAAGTTGCCTTTTTAAAGTAGTTCTGAAGTGATGGAGAAACAAGTCTTCAAAGGGACGTGACTTTAAGTGTCAAGCTGGTTTGTGTTTTTTTTGCATTGGTGGCTGTGTACAGGCAGTATGGATTTCTGATACCCACAGTGAGTCTTTCTACATCCCATCCGATCTGAAGCGGGAGCTCCCTTCCTCCCTCCTTCCTTCTCCAACTCACTTTCCATGCTGCTACTGGCTCAAGAGTGCTGTCCTCAAGCTATTGCACTTTGATCCTGTATTCACGTCTGTTTAATACATGGTAAGTGTATTGGGTTTGAATGTTGCATGGAAGATCTTATTTGCCTAACTGTGACTTCCTGGTGCCTTAGTGCATTGAAAACAACAAAAAAAGTTTAAAAAAAACAAACCCTGGGTTTTTGCTGACCGCACTGTTTGTATAATACCTAGCTCCTCTGACTTCCAACTCTTGTTACGAAGTGACTGAGATTTAGTGACCCTCAGGGGTTTTTTGTATATGTCTGCATAGTGGTATTTTTATTGTTTCTGTTAACAATGTATACTAAAGGTTTGGGTTTTTTTAATGAAAACTTGAGATACTTGTCAGAGATCAGAATTTTGGTTTTTTAGTTGAATAGTGCATCTTTTTTCAAAAGTCAAAGCAGCAGAAACGTGTTTCTTGATATTAGGGGACGATGAGTCCGTCTAGGAGCAGCCCCTTCCAGCAGACCGTCGTGTTCGCAGGTGTCTGTCCTGTATTAAACAGCGCTGGAGCTTGTGCCTGATGCAAGCAATTAGATGTATGCTGGGTAAGTTTAGAATATTAAAAAGTTAGGCACTGCCTTTTTCTAACATAAAAATACACTAGTGACTGATGTGCAGGGAAAGTAAAGTTTTGTTTAGGTTGATTCTTGATAGGATATGATCACTTCTTTTTTTAGGGGAGAAGTAGTAACAAAAAATGCTCACGTGAGAGTTAGAGATGGGAAAATGTTGAAAGAAAGGATAGACTTGAACATGTTCTGTCCTCCGCTGTGAATTCACAGGTAACTCTGAGCAGCAAAGTCTGTGTTCATTGTTTGCATTGATGGTTGACTCCTGGAGTTTGCTGGGTCAGTTTATTTTGTCGGAGAATGTTCAGTCAGGTAACCTTGGCATGTTCAGCTTTCAAGGTGTTTCCTCTTTCTGTCCTTGGAAGTTTTTCGAGACCCTAACAAACGAGGCCCTGAGCAACCGTTCGGTATCACCCGTGCTTTGAGCAGGAGGCTGGAGGCGACCTCCCGGGGTCCCTTCCAACCGATAAATACCGGGAAGTGCAAAATGCAGCAGAACCCGTGGCTGGAAGGTTTGTTTTTGTACGAAGCTGGCAAGCTGTGGAGGACTGTTAGCAAAGCTTATGGAGTTTGCAAGCATGTGCAAAAGTTTTTGACAAGCGCTGAAACTACATTGTGCTATGACAAACAGCGAGCGGCAGGATGGAGATCCAGACCGGGAGGGAAGGGAGCTGCTCAGCTCCCGATCTGCCTGAGGCTGCGACTCAGCTTAGACCGAGGCTGTCGTGGGTTTAAACTCTTTACCACAGGAGTATTTAAGGTGGGCAGAAGTTTTTAGATGCATTTCACTAAGAGGATGTTTTTAGATGCATTTCACTAAGAGGATGCATGTAGGTGCATTTCACTGTAAGAGGACAGGCTTTTAGAGTCATTTAGATATGTTAGATGTGATTTAAAAAAAAAAAAAAAGACTTGTTTTCTTAGCCTTGGCCAGACATGAAGCACCAGCAGTGTACTGGTTTGGATGTCTGGGATGCACGTCCCGATGAGTGTTGGGAGCTGGTTGCTGAGCTGGGTTGTGATGAAACCAAAGGACACGCTTAACCTGAACGCTGTCTTCTGTCATCCTGGTAAATGTGTCAAGCTGTTAGTGAACTCCACGTGCGCGCAGTTTGGGGTGGTACCGACAGCTCTGCGTGGGGAAGACTGTGAAGCTGGCTTTGGAGTAGGATCGGCTGGAAAATGGGTTTCCTTCCCTCTCCAGTGCGTGCCTTATGCAGCAGTTCAGTTGTCGGTGTTTGGGCTGTTTCCTGTGAGGCAAATTTTGAACACGCAGGACATAAATCTTAAAATTTTTGCTCTATACTAGGTAGTTATAATGGGTGTAACTTCAAAGCTTTATTTTTTGGTGAGCTCCTTGATACTGGCCTTAAGGGCAAAGACTAAACAGGAGTCTTGGATTTTTTCTGACACTGCAGCTATCAGCTGTGTCACCGCTTACCGTTTCCTGGCTTGTTTGTATACCACTAGCTTCATTTTTTGTTTTTAAGATTTTTAAAAAGACCTGCATATCTATAATAAGAAAACCAATTTGTTTTCCTGGATTAATGACATCAGCCTGGCAGCAGAGGAATTGTGTGACGCACTGACCGTGACCAGAGGGGTTCCAGCTGATCTCTCTCTATGTCAGGTTTTGTCTTACGTTTTTTGATGTGTAACAGAGAGTGGGAAATCCTTTTCTTTAAAGAAGAGAGGGTTGCATTTACCTGGGAGCAGCTAAGGGTGTTTTTGGGAGCAGTGCAGAGGATGTGCTGGCCGCTGTGCCCAGAAGGGGGTATTGCATCATGGCTTTGGTTAAGCACAAAATGACCTTCATGCCGTGCTGACTGCGCTTTCGGGTTTCTCTGCTGCTGGTTCACAACGTCTGCGCACTGACAGCGGAGAGTGCAGCCCCGGGGTCTTGTCTAACAGCTGATCTGGGATGTTTGCTGCTAGTAATCACCCGAAAAGGCTGAGTCAGCAGGCTATCCAGGTGGACTGGCTATGCCGGCTGACAGCTTACTTATGGGTCTAATGGTCGCGTCCAGCCTACACTGAATGACTTACTGTCACAGCATCGGCTTGCAGAGCTCGTCCTGAAACCCATGTGCTGGCAGCAGAGTTATATTTTATATAAAAGATGTGTGTCATCTTGAGAGTTTAATGTCCAGGAGGAGATGGGAATTCTAGAACCTCATCTTTTTTTAACTACTGGGGAAAAAAAACACCTTCTAGATATTGAAAGGGCCGAACCTGGCCTGCAGGGAAGAACATCTTCGTAACTGAAACAAGGGAATGAAATACCAGCTTTCAAATTCTCTTTAACACTGAGATTCTGTTTTTAAAGGCAAAACTTTTCCTAATGTGTCCCCAAATATGAAGAACTAAGGCTCCCTACATGTGTGATTTTAGAATTGGGTTGTTCTAGGAATTAAAAAAAAAAAAAGTCTTGCTGGCTTTATTGGCTTATATGCTTTTTGAGGAGCCTGGGTGACTTTAACCTTTGTGGTAGAGTTCCAAGTTTTGCTGATGTAAACCTGGAAGTAAGTATTCAGCTGGTGATGGGCAGCACTGGTAAAACTTGACCCTATTTCAAATCAGGATTTTTTTCGTATGGGAGGTGGCTGGCTGAGTCGGTTGGGTGACACAGGGCACGCCTGTGGGACCAGCATTTGCTGCTGCGAACGCTGCGGTTGCAGATGAGGTTTCCCACAGGTCATCGCCTGCTCTTCTGCTCCTTCCCCTAACCA